GAATCGTCCTCTTCCAACGGAGGGTTCCCTGATGGTGCCGGTCGAAGTTGATCGACGTGATATTTGAATTGCCTTCCATTCTTGTCTACCTCGTATACTTGTGGCGAGTTTCGGACGGCTATTGGAAACGGTCCTGCCCATGTAGGTGCGAAAGGATCCGGCGGGTTGTGCTCTTTTACCATTACCATGTCACCGACTTGGAAGGTGATGGTAGGCTCATCGTCTCGACCTGGATAGGTGTTTTGATTGAAATTTAGTTGTCGAGCGATGATGTTTTGGCGTCTCAACCTCGCGTCTTCTCGGGGTCGGTTTCGTCTTCTTTGAAATTCTGGAATTTCCCAATCCCCTTGAGCGGCCGCTTCGTAACCTAGGAGGGCGGTTGCCGGTGATTCTCCTGTAGCTCGGTTCTTGCGTCGGTGCTGTATTGCTAGGGTACGTGGTACTTGTTGATCCCAGTTTCGTCGTCGTTGTTGATTGTGCATGAGGGCTCGCAGAATGGTTTTGAAATCGGCGACTTTTCGTTCGACGGGGTTCTCTCGTTGGAAGTAGATGGCGGTGTGATATGGCTGAATTTGCTTGCGCTGACACATGTTGAGGTATTTCTGGCTTTGGAACACTGTCGCGTTGTCGGAGATGATGACTTTAGGGTATCCGTATCTTGTGAAAATTTCATCCTCTAGGAATTGGCAAATAGTGGCGGCTTCGGAATTTGATGCGGGCTTGGCTTCAGTCCATTTAGTGAATAGGTCCTCGACGATAAGAACGTATTTGTTATCCCGTGGGGTAACTGGATAGGGTCCTAACACATCTATACTGATTATTTCGAAAGGTGATTGCGCTGTGTGCGGCTTTTGTGGGGCTTCTATCTGTATTTGACGGCTTTTTACAGAGTGGCATGGTAAACATTTGTTGACGTACTCGACGATTTTAGCCCCAACACGTCCCGCTATCTCCGATATTTGAGCTCAGGCGACTGTTGGAGCCGTTAATTAGGTAGTTTGTATATATAATTCTTATAATTATATATATCTAGAGGTAAACACTACGCTCATATAGTTCTGATAACTATAGGGGCAGTTTGATGCACTTCACTAGGGCTTATATCTAACACTTGTGATAGGGCTGGCTAATGGCCCGTGATTTGGGTCTGCCGCGGGTCAGAAATAAATGCCCGGGCGACGTTTTACCTTTCTTTTATAGATAAGAGGTAGGTTAGGTTAGGTTTTACTTTTTCCTCTGATAGCGGCTTCGGCTTCACAGTTAGAAACATTGTGGAATATACTTGTTATGGGTTCAGGTTCTGCATAGAGAGCTTGCACTGGAGCGCTGTTCCGGGCATTGGAACTTGGATTCGAAAGATTGTCGAAATCTGAAGTTCGCTCGCTCACATTATACGACACAGGCTACGGCGCACTCGACGTCCAGTCCGCAGTCCGACCGCTATTGATTAAATAACCGCCGAGTTTTGTCTCGGTAGCTCACTCTCAGTCGAGACTTGCCACGAGAAGCATCTCTGAGTTGGTCTTCACACTTGTATTGTAGTGTTTGAATTGAATAACCTCTCATTGTTCGCTCTTTTAGTGACGAGTAATCGCTACCAATTTTTAAATAGTAGTAGTACTGAGTATCAGCGACCCTTCGGGGTATATTAAAGCTGTTCCCCTCAGCTTGTGGCACAGCCTGGTCTGCCATTCCACAAAATAGGGAAAAAGAATTCGTTAACAAGTTCCCCTTTACTTATTAATTAAGGGGAACCCTACACCTATCGTTCCACAACGCGAGCCGAACCCGACATCCGCAGAAGCAGCCGCGGCCGTGCAGAAACGCTTTCTGCACGCATCCAGCGTGTTCTGGGGATTCTTAGGGATACCCCCAACCACGTCACAATCCCCAAAACGTGTCCCCAAACCACCGCGTTCGTGGACATGGCGCCCAGCACGTGAGGCTTGAGTAACCGATATCCAGGTTACCTACACAGGCAAGGGAGCCTGTGCGATCCCAGCGAAGCATCTTCGACGACTACCAGGCCTAGTCCAGGTCCACTAGGTCTCCACCAGGTCCAATCCAGGTCCACCAGGTCCACTACGTCCACGTTAGGCCTACTCCAGGTCTACTACGTCCACCCTAGGTCCACAAGGGTCCACCAAGCCTCCACCAGGCATACTCCAGGTCCACCAGGTCCGCTCCAGGTCCTCCAGGCCCATACTAGGTCCGCTCCAGGTCCACCAGGTCCACCCTAGGTCTGAAGACCATTTTTGAAAAAAATAAATCCAAAAAAAATAAATAAATAAAATAAAAAAAAATAAAAAAAAAATAAAATAAAATAAAAAATAAAAATAAATCCAACAGAAAAAAATAAAATAAAAAAAATTAAATATAAAAAAAAAATAAATAATAAAAAATAAAATAAATCCAACAAAAAAAAAATAAAAATAAAAACAAAATCAAATAAAACAAACAAAAAAAAAATCCGACATGGAGCCATCACCGTACCTACCTGGTACCCCACCACAAGTGCCTTTGAGGCCTTCCCTGCTGGACAGCGAGGTGTCCTTCCATAATTACCAGCATCAAGGACCACCGTCCCAACCTGGACCTCCTACACCGCAGAGCTCTACGCCAAGCACCGTCGAGCTTCTGCAGGCTTTGACCCTAGCCAATCAAGCTCAACCGAACACCAGTACCCGTCCGGCCCCAAGCCAACCTGCTGCAGGTCCGAGCCAGACCTCAGCCAGGGCTCTAGCCCAGCCACCGAGGCAGTGAGCCTCCCAGATCCAGGTCCGATTGTCGAGTCGCCTCTCTCGGCAATCGAACCAAACCCCCTTCGACAACATGGATGTCGAAGCCTTTGTCGGCGACCTCAACAACATTACCACTGAGGTCGTCCCAGCCAATGCCGAATTGCCACGTCTGACCGTCTGCCTGGAAGGTCAGAGATGCACCGCCCAGCACCACCGGGCAGTCCAGCCAATGATGACGTCTCCTCGGACGAGGAAGACGAGATGCCACCACCGGAAGCCGCAGAAGCCGAGGACCAAGGTCTGGATGACCTACACCCCGGCCGGCCAATAGAGCCAGCGGCACTCCAAGTCGGGGCTCAGGACCAGGACGGTCCACACCTCGACCGGCCAACAGAAACAGAGCCACGACTACCCCATACCGAGGCCCAAGACCAGGACGGTCTCCACCCCGGTCGGCTAATAAAGCCAGCCAGCCAACCAGGACGGCAACCTACGGACCATGGACGGGTCCAACGTCTGGATGACGACCGCCCTCCATGTCCACTGATAGCCTACCCTGAGGCAACACCAGGCCCTAGCCATGCTAGGCCACATGCAAACCCCCGAGCCAGCCACCACCCGCTTATAATTCCAACCAGCCAACCGGGACGGCAACCTACGGACCATGGACGGGTCCAACGTCTGAATGACGACCGCCCTCCATGTCCATTGATAGCCTACTCTGAGGCGACACCAGGCCCTAGCCATGCTAGGCCACATGCAGAGACCAAACCCCCTGCCAGGGGCCTTTTTGAACGGCAGGCTACGGCGCACTCGACGTCCAGTCCGCAGTCCGACCGCTATTCATTAAATAACCGCCGATGTGACGTCACCGCGACCCTACGTCGTAGTTGGGGGCCGTCGAAGACGATCCCCATCGCGGTTTCGTTTGCCCTGCTAGCCCCGCGGACGACTCTGTCCCAAGCGTCGTGGTAACCGCCGACGGCGTACGACCTAGATACCGGTTCCATAGTGATAAGCCAGACGCAAGACGTTGATTGTTCGCTAATCGTTGGAATTCTTTTTAAACCTTTTCTACCTTTCGAAATTCTTTTTAAAGTTGGAGGTATACTAGTATACCTTCGGGTGACGGACCTATGGCCTCTTTTCAAAACTAGGTTTAGGAACGTTCTTTTTCCAAGGAGATCTGTTTCTTTTTCTCCTGCGTTAATCTTTTTGTCTTTATTTTGTTCTTTTTACTTGGGGATCTCTCTTTTTCCCTTATTAGTTTCTTTTAGTCGAATTCTTTAAGGAATTACCACCAGGTCCCAGACCCAGATTCTACTATCCAGTAGAATGACTACCTCGAATTTTACTTTATAAAAATAATACCTGCAGGTCCCAGACCCGCTTTCTATACCAATAGAAATGAAACAAATTCTTTTTGTAAATTTGGTATTACAGAAAAAGCGATACCGTCGCTTGTCTGAGGAGCTCCGTACGCTAGTGAGGCTGCGACACGAATGAGCTCGTGCGGCGCGCCAATATCCTTGGCAGGAAAAATGACCTCGGATGGAGCGAGGTCGAGCGGGATTATCGCTCTTTACCCACTTCATCGCTGTAGGCCCGGACGCCTCGTAGAGGTAGGCCCTTTCCCCGTCATTCCGGACCGCCAACGCGGCCGGATTGGATCGGTTCGTGGGGCCTCCTCCTGTCCTGGCTGGGCCCCGCCGGCTAGGGCCCTTTCTTCTGGCGCTCTTCTTTCTTCGCCGGCTCGTCTGTGTATACCCCCGGGGGTGTCGTGTATCGGTCGCAAACGACGACTGTCGTTTGCGACCGGGGTGGTGGTTTTGGGTGAGGTCGTGCAGCTATGCAGCTTAGGAAGCGCTTTGCTAAGGTGGCCCTTAGGCTAGCGCGGGAGGGGAGAGTGGGATAAGGAAGGTAGGGGGGAATGTGTGTGTGTGTGTGTGTGTGTCGTCGTTTTCGTCTCTTGATCCTGGCGGTCCTGAAGCAGACAGGAAAATTTCGACTCATCCTGCGTCCAGGAGTTGATGTCTAGGCCGCCTGCGTCTGCCGGCAGCCTCTTTGGGTCGGTAGTCCACCGCGTTCCGGATCAGCGGGTTGCTGTGGATCTCGGCGCGCTCGAAAAGATTTCTCGCGCGCTCTCTGGTGCCCAGCAAACAAAACGGGGGAGGGGGGGTGTAGGCGGTGTAATTTAGGGAAAATGAAATTAATCATTTTTTCAATAAATAATAATATTTATTCTTACAAACTTACTGATAATTCTAATATACAACTATTATATCAATTTAAATATACTATTTAATATAACCTACAATCACAAAATGACTTAAAGTTATGTTTATATCACTTGGAAAATTTCCCAAATATTGTTTTCCGATAATCATTGGACCCGGACCCAATAAATTCTACACATAAAGAGACGATATTCAGCGTATCCAAAATGTGCTTGTGAACGTGGCAGATAGCTAAGCTATTTAATCGACTTTGCAGCATAGTACTGCGGAGATAAGTTTTCAATCTGCGCAGCGCGCTGAAACTTCTTTCAGCTTCACAAGATGATGCAGGACAGGTTATTAAAAGCTTTATCAATCGTTCTACTTCTCTAAACATTTGGCGCACCTGAAAATATGTAAGAAATATTTTTTATGTAGTCAGAATCATTTTTATGCTGATATGATACGACACTAGTCTAACTATTAAAGATTACTTACTTCTATCGTTGCTTCTCTCATTTTCTCTGTAGCTTCCTTCAATGTTTTATATTCAAATTGTGTCTTGAATAGTTTTAATTGTATTTTTAATTTATCATGATTGAATTCTTTATAGCGTTTTATAGAATCATCAACCTCCCCGCTTAAAAGAACCTTCTCAAGGCAAATTAGATGATCCATTCCTTTTTGATAAATTCTATCTCTCAGTTATGTCGTCGTAGTGTCAATCATAGAAAAATACTGCCTTTTATAATACTCAACAGGTGACGAATCAAAATAATTTTCTGCATTTCCTGTCAGTCGTTTAGGTGGGCAGCGTTGTCTAGGCTGTGATATGGGTTCTAAATTCAAATCCTCGATCAATTTATCCGCATCTGAGAAAATTTTTTGGAATGATGTATCTGTGCGTTTTTCTTCCAAGCCCTTAATAACTAACTCTGTAGCTTTGAGTGCCCCTGAAACGGTCTCATACTTGCCCTGCAACGTCTTATTTAAAATTTCCAATTGTGAAAAAATATCAATAGACATCAATAATCCAAGTACAGTGTTTCCTTTTGTTAATTTTTCAATTAATCCTGCTGCCGTCACATTGTCTTTTTTTATTGCTTCGAGAGAATCAAGAACAACTTGAAGCTGTGATAGTGTAGCGCAGGCTGGATTTACTCTCGCCAGCCAACGTGTCGGACATAACGGTTTAATTAATTTAAGTTGTGGATCACTTGAAGAAGATGTAATATCTTTCATAATAGTTTTTAACTTGCCACTTCTCGAGACCAAATTTCCCAATTCATTAACTGCATCTAACGCCGATGACGATAAGGGACTGCTACTGGCTACTGTCTGTGCAGCTAAATTAGAGGCATGCGCAGTGGAGTGGACGTAATCAGAGAGAGGCTGCGACTCTTTTATAATTGCTTGAACGGCTTTATAAATGCCGGACATATTTGCTGCACCATCATACGTTTGCCAACGTAAACTATCTGTCGGAAGTTCAAGTTTTTTTAAAATTTTTAAAATGACATCGACAATCTCTTGGCCAGTCGTCTCTTTTACTTCGTAGAACCCTAAAAATTCTTCTCGCGCTTGTAGATGCTCATCAGTAAATCGTATGCAGATAGAGTGTTGGTCTGTACCAGAGATATCCTGTGTACCATCCACAATCAAAGCGAAGCATTCTGATTCTCGTATTTCTTGGCAAAGCTTCTCTAGAATTTTCCTACTCATGAGATCGAGAATTTCATTTTGAATTTTCCAACTTGTCCACGATTTTTTCTTATTAAGCCATTCTTTCAAATCTAAATTTTGAGCCTTCAAAACATCGAGCAACTGAATACTGTTGCTTTCGCTATCTTCATGCCCTCTTATTGCCAGATTTTGTCTAGCCAATTATTTAACGGCAGAGAAAATTTGAATAAGACCATTTCGTGCTTTTTCTTGGTCTGAAGCTATCTGCGAACTCAACTGAGCTTCAATAGGAAGGCTTTTCTCTGCGTGTATTTTATTTGCTAGAGCAAATACATGGTCTTTATGTCTTTCGTGAGCTCTAAATTTTTNTGGCGGGTTTTTGGTTTGAATTGGAAAGGTAGGTGAATATGATTGTTTCGTCTCCTTTTCAATTAAGCGGTCTCCGGCATAGTCGTAGGCACAAAATTATGACTTCTATGAATATACGGGGTGTTCTGAAATCCTGGAGCTCGCTCGAAGGGTGGAATACGACAACGCGTGTCTGCGATCCGGCTCCATTTTTGAGTTTTTTGATAGTTTTCCAGCCGCTGCTGGTGCCACTATTACCCAAATGGAGTCTGCGTAGGTTAGCCGGTCGCTAACTCCCACGTCGGTCGCTAACTATTATACTGCGGACTTAGGGGTACGCAAGTCTTCCCGCACACGCTCCCTCGATGGCGAATTCTTTTTACACTACCTCGAATTCTTTTTACAGCAGGTTACCTATACGTAAGGTAACCGCCGTGGGGGTGGCCTTTATTTTCGAGACTGGCCGTCTCGTCGATCTGGTGGAATACAATAACACGAGGTTATCTGGTCCACCAGGTCCTAGAGTTCGAAATGTCTGTAACTTTTGATTTCAGAGAGTAGTTTTTTCTCCTGGCGTCCCAGAGCGCGTTAGCACTAGGCTAACTCTCCTGTCCGTGCCCGGTTTACAAAGTATTATAACTTTTTGTTTAAGGAGAGTAGTTATCTCTCCGGGAGACTGTACAAAGCACGTTAACACAAGGCTAATTCTTTGTCAGTCACCTAGTTCAAAAACCCTTTTTTTTCGAATTCTTTCTTTGAGGAATTTGTTGCGGGGGTCCACAACAAAAACCTCTGGTGCTGTTAGCTAGGGTGCCCGAACGCGTCGCGGATGCTCTCCTAGAGCGGACGGTCTGCTGCCGATGCGCTTCTTTTCTAGTCGCGGTTGTCGCGTACACGTTCAATATCGCTTCTTGGTCGCGTAGTTAAGTCGCTGGGTGAAGTCGCCTTGTTGACTTCAAGTCGTCCGTTGGTTACGCTCGCGTTCGAAAGACTGGCCCTGGAAGCTGCGCGTCGCTTCAATTTATAGGAGTCGTGACGTAGAAAAGGGGCGGGGCTTCTGAACAAAACCCAACGGCGTCGGACCCCGATTCCACGACAAGCTGTCGTATAACTTGCACTTACCATTAGGTTGCGTCTCTCAGGGTTTCTGGACATGTTATATGCTTCTCGCGCTGTCGCGCTGGACTCTGCTCGAGATGTAGCTAACCTGGTAATATTGCGCTTAGGCATGGCTAGGGGAGAGGACGCGATCTAATTTGTAACAACTTGTCGTTCCCTTAGATAGGATGTAAGAGAGGTTTGACTCTAACAAAGGGAATTTGGATAAGAATGATATGAGATATAGGATCGGTATTGGAAAGATAGGTGAACAGTGACTTTAAGCGCCAATACGTCCCGCTATCTCTGACATTTGAGCTTAGGCGGCTATGAGAGCCGTTGATTAGGTAGTTTGTATATATAATTCTTATAATTATATATATCTAGAGGTAAACACTACGCTCATATAGTTCTGATAACTATAGGGGCGGTTTGATGCACTTCACTAGAGCTTATATCTAACACTTTATGATAGGGCTGGCTAATGGCCCGTGATTAGGGTCTGGATTGGAAACTTGGGTGAAAATCTTACTTTCCGTCCTGACAGCGACTTCGGCTTCAGGATTAGAAACATTGCGTAAGTTAATGCTCTGCCTTCGATTTCTTATGCTTGAAATCGGGCTTGGAGCTCTGTGCTGGATTTTGAGGTTTGGATTGGAAACATGGGTGAAAGTTTTACTTTCTCCTCTGACAGCGGCTTCGGCTTCAGAGTTAGAAACATTATGCAATTTAATGCTTTGCCTTCGATTTCTTATGCTGGAAATCGGGCTTGGAGCTGGGTGCTGGATTTTGAGATTTGGATTGGAAACATGTGTGAAAGTTTTACTTTTTCCTCTGACAGCGGCTTCGGCTTCAGAGTTAGAAACATTGTGGAATTTATCATTTATAGCTTCGATTACTGCCTGCACATCTCGCGCTGGAGCGTTGTCCTGGGCGTTCGAACTTGGATTCGAAAGATAGTCGAAATCTGAAGTCGCTCGTTCAGATTACAATGCCCGTTGCCCAACTCAAAGCAGGCGGACGGGAAACTAAACGGTGACGTCACAGCCTCTGAATTCGCGTCCACGACAACGCTGTCGCGGGCCCCAAAATTAGAGGCCGCGAATCAAATTGCAAATTTCGCCGAAAGCACCGTGATTGGTCCAAACCCAGTTTTGGGGCGTGGCCACAGAAAACTTAATATAAATATCGATCTGTCTGTCGGTCAAAAAAAGAGGAGAACAGAGGACAGAAGAGAGAGTTTAGATCAGACTAAGACTCAGCTCCTTTTTCTTGTTTTTCAATAATATATTTACTTTGATCAAGAAAATCAAACTAAATTACATATTTGAAGCGTTTATTAAAGTTTTCTATTAATATTACTTACAACTTGGTGTTTATTAGTTAGGGTTGCAAGTTACAACCTCGCCGTAGAATAACTCCATTAGTAAAGTTAAATCTACCACGAGTTTACTAGAGTCCTGTAAGAGAATTGTACTTAAATACTTACCAATATATGAATATAGTCCATCCAGAGCTTTGGTTCTTAATCCCAGTAACTTCTTGGTGGATCGTGGGTTCTCTGCACCCAAATCTGAAAGAAAAGAAACTTTTTTGCATATCTGTTGCTAAGTGAACTTGACTTTAATAATAATTACTATAAATACTTAAAACTAAGTGAGTAGTGCGTCGAGGGACCTGGACAAGTGTTTACAGACTATAGCGTGGACGGTAAGTGCCGTTTTATATCTAATATTCTGTCACCATCTCTTCTCTACATTCGAAACTGTAGCGAAAATTGTATTATCCTCATAAATTACGACGCAATAGTCTATTTTACGTTACAAAATAAAGATAATAACAAATTTTATAACTTTGGGACCATTTCTATTTATCTCGGGAAGTTAGAAAGAGGTATAATAATAAATTTCAGTAAAATCTCTCGTAATCGCGAGTTAGTAGTTAGAATACAAAGCTTACGTTGGAAACCTAAGCGAAATTGTGTAGTAGGTTAGCGTTCGGATAAGATATATTCAGAACTAAGTCGAAAGTTTTGGTTAGAAGAAGTTAAAGTTAGAAACTGAGGTGAAAACTGTTAGTGAAAACTTTTCTTTAAAAGATCGATAATAGGTTAGTGCGCGTTTCTATAACTCTGAACCGTATAGATATAAGTGGAACTTTGTCGTTTTTGTAAAGGTTAGGGATTTTGGAAACTTAGGTAAAATTGAACATTGTTTCGGCAGATTGGAAACCTGCGCGAATTTAGAGTATAGTGTAACTAAGAGACTGATTAGAAACAGAGGTGAAATTCAGAAACCTAACTAAGTAGATAGATTAAATCGAAACCGAGGTGAAATTTAAAATATCTCGTTAAGTGAGTATCCTCATTCGAAACTGAGGTGAAAATATCACATTATCAGATATTGACGGGGAATTTGACTGTACGTAATAAAACTTGTGTGGATTAAGTTAGTTAGGTAAAATAAAAACAATTTACGTTAAATTTAGAAAAGGTAATACTATTAAAGTAACTATGGCTATAAACCCGATCCGTACCGCGTGCGCATTGCGTTCGCAGCCAGAAATAGAAGAAGAACGGTTACGCGAATCCCTAACCACTACCGAATCGTTAGAGGGGGCATTCGACGGGAACCGAGACGAAACCGTAGAGGTAGGATCAGCTGTGGAGAGACAATTGGGGTTGGACCGACCCTATTGCGCCCCGCAACTCACCTGCTCGTTTCCAGATAACATAATTCCCAACGACGTTGGAGTTGGAGGGTCCGTCGGCCGAAATCCCGAGGCGCGGCGAGAACAACGCGTGACTTCGACCGGGTCCGGGGTTTTCCCCCGGCCATACCCTCGCCGAATACCCACCGTCTCTCTCTTCCGGTGGGAAACCCAAGAACGGAATATCATCACTGATATTAGGGTATTCGAACGGAACGGTTTCTGTTGAATGGGTGACCCTAGGGATCGTATCAACACGCGCGTGCGCGGTAGTAGCGGAGTCAGTATCCATTTCTTTCTTGAAGTCAATTAAGGAAAATAAGGTAAGTACACAATGCTACAGTGGTTTAGGTCCAGTCTCTGCAGGGTTCCCTCCATGGTCTACAGGTAAGTATGCTAAAGACAAAATACAAGCAAACAAAAGAAACAGGCCTAACTGTAAGGTTGATCCTGACTCGAAGAGGGAAAAGGCTGTAAGTAAGACTCATGCACTGGTTCCGCGTCACTAGCGTAGGAGGACAGAAGGTCCACAGTTCAACTTTACTAAGTCCTAGTTGGATCTGATAGCTATTTTTTGAAAGTTCTAGTCTATATCCACTCACGAACAAAGCTCTGAATTGTTTTTATCGTTAATACTAATAACAATCTGATAACGATAGTTGTAGCAATCACTACTAAATTGTCAGGAAGCAATACAGACACTTACCGGGAATAACTCTCGCCTCGTCGCTGTCTTCCCACAGGTAGTCGTCGGGGCACTTTCACTTAGATTTAATTGTTTATTATTTTAACCTCCTCAGGTCTCATACCTGGGAGTGAAAGAGTTAGATTTTTAATCCCACTGACTCCAACCTCTAATTTAAACACAATTTAATGTTACTATT